TACACAAGTCTTGCCGGACGTTGAATGCAATTCCCAATAAGAGAGGCTAATAAGTCAATTTTATCATGTGCCTAAACTTTTGAACTTGTCGGAAAATCAATGGGGAAAAATAGGAAAGACAAATAATAGCTTTTGTACAATGTAAAAGCTTAGAAAATAAGTGCTTAATATGCCCATTTCTCCTTTATGACAGCTTTTATTTTATATGTGGGATCCCACAACTTTTAGATTATACGACTCATATAGTCCAAAATGTTTTTTTATTATATTAAAAAAAAATTAAAAAATTGACCGTTGTTACTATAACATGTTGAGGGGGAAAAATAAAAAAAATAAATAATAAATAAAAATGAAATCCGCACGAGTTAAGTTGAGAAAGCAGGTAATAAAATTTTGACTTATTTGTAAAAAAAGCTGATTAATGGTCAAGAAGAGAGCAGGTATTGTTGCATGTGAGCTTTTCACTATGAAAATGAAAATTATATTGAATTTTACTAGGATTTATGATCCTAAATATTTCAACTTTTTTGGAAAAAACATATTTATTTCAGAAAATCATACAAATATCGATTTCCATTATTATAAGATTTTTTTTTAGCGAAACTAGAATTATATCCTAAGTATTAGATTCAAATTTCCGATTCAAGTTTTATTTTCCGCAAATTCAGATTTTTTTTTTCGGAAAATTACTTATAATATTAGTATGCATCTTATATCATAGGTACTAAAAATTTAAAAATTTCGAATTCTGCTAATTCTGATCCGAAAATTTCCAATTTTGGAATAAGCCGAATTTCTAACTTTTTGAAATTCCAATTTCCAGGTTTTTCAATTTTTTTCAGAAAAAAACAAAATTGGAAATTTTCGTTCGATTTACTCCCCTAATTGGAACAATTATTTTCATTTTGATTTTTTCAAATTTTTTCGAAACGAAACCAAAATCAGAAAAAAAATTAAAAAAAATGTTCACAAATGCTAAAATTTCAACTTATCCATCCGATTTCCACTCTCATATCACACACACGAAAAAATACATAATAAATAAAGGAAAAAAACACATACCTCCATAGTAAACAGCAGCTTGACCGCTACTATAATGCGTGATCGCACCAAAAGCATTAGTAGTCAACGCCAACGCCATCGTAGCCATCAAACCCGGCACCCCCGAAGCCAAATTCATCGCAAGAAAAGCCGCATACAAAGCCCCAACATGCGCCGTTTGGCTCGCAAACAAATAATGTATGAAAAAATACGAAAGTTGGAGAATCCAAAACGCACCATACCAACTAACCGAGAGAGCTTTGAGAAAATCGGCCACGCATTTAGACATCCAAGGTACAACTCCTAATGCAGTTAGTTGCGACGCCATCCCGACAAGAACTCCGAACCAAACCAAAGTGTCCCACGCTTGTTTCTCGCCCAGACAATCTTCCCAATCTAGTACTCCCGTTAGAAGTAGCACCGACAATCCGATTAATGCTGCGATAACACTGCTCATTTTGATAGCTTCTCTGTATAAATTAATTTCGATTTTTCGTTAGTAATATTGACCATTAATTAATTTTTCATTAGTAATTAATACGAACATTAGGGAATTATTTTTATTTTTTTATTTTTTGCGTGATTCATCTAGAGGCTTAAATAAGTGTATCTAAGTAAATTTCAGAATCGGAATAAAATTGGTCAAAAGTTTCTATTAGTAGACCAATGAGAATTACTTCGGTCTCGATCTTATTTGGTTGGTCAGGTTAGCCATGATTAATTAAATAAATTCTTGGATGTTCGGTTTATCAATAACTTGTCGGGCCGACCTGCAATTGTGGAAAAAATGACTCTATTTTGTATAATTGGGAGATATTATTTATTAGACCTTCCATGTAGACACGGCCACGGGCCGGTTCGGGCCGGTTCCGGGCCGGTTCAAACCGGTTCACGGTTCACATTTTCCGGAACCGGAACCGGAACCGGCCCGTAGTATGGGCGGTTCCGGGCTTATCCGGGCCGGTTCCAGGGTCGGCCCGGAAATTTTGAATTTTTTTTTTTTAATTTTCAACAATTTTTTGAATATTATATGATAA